GTTGATAGCCCCCACCCAATATGGTAGTGATGTCTTTATAACAAGCAAGGTTCGAAAACCAAATAGAATTGGTACCTCAATTCTAGGCCAGTTTCGAATTCGAATGCATCTAAGCATGTCCGTTTATCGGTCAGTCAGTCCACCCAACTGTATATGTTGTAAACATTCTGTCGTTCGAAAATATAAAGACATCGCCTATAGATTTGCTAAGAGTTTTAGAATGAACTCGGTCCAACGACACGGATACAACGCTCACACGCCTTGGCAGCGAAAAGTTGAAACACATTTGCTTTCCGCGTTCTTTGCTCGTTACTCATAAAGTACAACACCTGCGGCGTATAAATTTTATTCTGAAAATAGGAATAATCAGCCACGACCATCCAGTATTATAAAGTGTGAAAATATAGTGCTCTTCCTCTGTTAGGATAAATGCCACGTGCACAAGAGATTCGTTCACAATCGAACATAGTTTTCTTACTTATTACAGTTAATTTGTATGTCAGATTGACCAGTATTGACCAGTTTGTATCACAAAATGATAAAAAATACAGTTGTTTGTTCACTTTTCGTAGGAACGATTGCAAATAAGTAGGGTCAAAAAAATAGCCCAGCCGATGAAAATATTTCACAATAATTTAGATTGTCGAAAATATTACCAATCCGTGACTCTAGAAATTCTAAAAGTTGCAAACATTTTGCATAAAACAACTTTTGCCACATAACACATTACAAGCAGAATGGTTATCCTCAGGCCCAAATAGGTCAGGGAAAACATCTCAAAACCTAGCGACCTATACGATGAATACAATCACAGACATTAGTCGGTTAAAAAATGTAGGGAGGCAAACGTATAGGTAGAAAGATAAATTGATTCAAGAAATAACTTTGAGTCAATTGTTATAATGAAAGATGGGCCGATTTTAAATACTCTATCACATACATCTGCACAAGCTCAATATGCCTTATAGCACAAGCACTGTAGTACAACTGAGGAAAATGACATAAAGAATTGTGTTGTTTCTTACTCCGTTGCGACTTTCGATTGATGTTCTTTTCAGCTTGATTCTGGCCGCACGTCTGTCTGACATAGGGTATATTGTACTCCAACTGGACGTTGAGATTTATCCATACATTTTAGGAGAATATCCATTGAAACTTTTGAAGCAAAAAACCAAAACAATATTTTGAACAAAGTATAAATAATTGTGTTCCATTTCCTATATTTAAAAAAGAAAAAAAAAAAAAGACGTGACAAGCCCACAAAAAAGTATGTACTGTCTATGTATGTATAGAGAGATTTAAGTGAAAATTTGTATCATAACAAGTTTACGAAAGAGTATATATTTTCCCAACTTACTCTCTTTGTCAAGTCACTTTTGGTTTCAATTAAATAAAGCTTTTAATCTACTGGCGGCAATCTAAAGATTGGCTAACCTACTCTTTCGTTCAATTCGTCGAAGCATCGGCGTGTAAGTAAATTTAATTTTCGCTTCCAATTTACGCAGTTATAGATGCAAACATTTAATAGACATCAATGAAGAGATAATAAGTGACTTACGCCGTTATTACATGACAAGCAGCAACGTGTAACGTTCACAAATAAAAAAAAAATAAATAAAATGATTTGTGCAGTTTGTATGACAACTCGCTTAGCATTTTATTATTAAAGAAATTTTCTAGTTCGAAACTGTTTCATAGCAAATAGGTTAAAACCATTTTATAATTCATTCATTTGAAGTCAATTTACGAACGAAAGAAACGAGATCAAGAACATCGAATATATTTGTTTATCCCTCCACTATAATCACAGTTGACATAAATTTTAGCGAAAAGTAGGTCGATTTCTATTAATTCATTTTTTTTTTAAACCGATTAAAGTTTGCGCCAGAGTTGAGTTAAACATAATTAGGTGTGGTTCGGTTGTTGAGAAGTTTTAATTTAATATAGTTTGTATTCTTGCTCTAATAATGATAAGATTTGATTATTTTACAAGATAATAGTAGTTTATATTTAATACCTTTTACTCTATCTATACTATAAATATATCCGATCATGTGTTATATGCGATATAATTTTGCAAATTCTTTTTTCTTTCTCATTAGGTAGACACAAAAGAAATCAAAAAATTTACTCATAAACCCATGCAATAACCAATAAGTTAAACTAACAAGTCAACCGAATAGATATTCATTCAGCAAGTTAGAATGCCATTCAGTCAGTGAACGCGACACTTTTGTTTGGTTGATTGGTTGCTGGGTTGACTATTTTGTGTTAGTCGTTTCACTTTAGTTTGTCAATTGACAGTATTGACGGTTTTATGGCAAAATTTGAGACCATGCCGTCCTTTCATTATTCTAATGTTAATGGTGATGCTGTTGATGACGATGATGATGCCCTGGCAGAACGTCATTGCATTGTTGGATAAATAACAGCGTAGTCTGTGCACAGAGTTAAATTTGTATGATAATAATGAGGATTATTGGAAAAGTACTATGACTTGCTTGCTTATAAATCTCAGAGGATATTTAACTAAATTACTTGAAAAAACAAAAAAATGTCAATGCATAAAAATCGTAAGATTTTAAGTCAAATCAACCTAAAAATAGATTTTAAAAAATTTGTTTCATTCAGCCTTTAACGTGAGCAGAGCCTTTTCAGTTTTCTATTGCCTATTTTCAAAGCGATATAATCAATCGTTCACTTTGTATATAATTGTGCTGATGCTGTGGGTTATTTAAAAAACAAGCAAAAAATGTAAATAAAACTTATGATGTCGAAATCATTGCATACTTTTTGAGCTCACAAAATAAGCAGAATTTAAAGCATGTTTATTGTGGTGGCTTTGCGGCAATTACGGTATATTTTGGTCCTTCTAATTGCAATCACTCAAATGTATAATCGATAGTAATACATCTAAATTCATGGTTTTGTATTTGTTATTTACTTTTTTCTTCAAGAATTTGTGGTTCTGTGCTATTCCGCTACCATAGCTTTCTTTTAAGAAAACAAGGCGTTAAACTGTTTTTTTTTTTTTTTTTTTTTTTTTCTAACAGCAATTTAGTTGCACAATTTCCGCCACTTATGCAAAAACTTCAACTCTTTGCGTTGAGGAGGAAAAATAAAAAAACAAAAACGAACTAAAAACGAATTCGCTTTTATATAGAATTTGGTTAGTTAGTTATATGGTTTTTTGTGTATTTGCAGGTAAAAGCTTATTGCTTCTACTGGCGCAACTACCATACAGTTTTACTTAGCAGAAAGCAGTGCGTTCTAGCACTTTATATATTTGGCATTTGTAATGTGCCAATTTCATTTAGCAATTGCTAGTGAAAATAGTTTGTTAAAAACAAACCGTTTGTTACGCTAAAAGTAATAAACGGCAAAAAAACTTTTTCTGTTTTATTGTTTTTCTAATCAAAACAAATGCTTTAAATTTGTACTATAATTCATAATTGTTGGATATATTAAATTTCTTATTCATTTGGTAATGATGCGAATTTTACTTTTATATTTGCATATCAGTTCGCTCATCTACGAACATTTTCTTCTGTGCATCTCGAAATTTCTCATCTAGTACACAGAGAAAATGTTGAATCTGGATAAAATCTAGCAATTGCACAAGTGAAAATAGTGTGCCCAATATGACGTTACAGATACTCTCGCTTCCCACATGAAATTGGTAAAGTAATTCGCGAACTTGATATGGTTTGACATTTCTCTCTGTTTTTTTTTTTTTAATTTATAACTGTTTTGCAGTTAGTATGAAAGTCCATCTTCCTCCTTGGTCGTTTTGTCGTAATTATATGATTTCGATCTTTTTATTGCGAGAAGATCGATATTTGATTTTTGCTTCTTATACTGAAAACATGAGTCAAATATTTATTACCTTGGAACTCGTTTTTCAAAAAAACAAAGAAACAAAGAAGGAAACAAGTAAGGGATATCAAAATATTCGACTTAAACCAACTTTTTTTCTCTTTTGAAGGGAATTTACAAAGCATGTTTTTTTAATTGCCTTTATTTTTACGCTAAAGTGAATCGAGAAACAAAATTTATAAAATTGATTAAACTCTAACGTTTTGCATTAGTTTTTAAAAATTTTCAATTATTCATTTGTAAAAAGTATGCTATTATTTTAGTTTATAACAAAGGCGTTAAAATAGGCAATAATTTTTGTACTCACAACCAGAGAATTTGAAAAAAACTAACATTTTTTCGTTTGTAACCCCCAAAAATATGCATCGATTATCGTTTAAATTATGCCTAAGCACTGCAAAAAGAGTTATGTTTTTTATTGTGCCAAATTTCTCTAACGTTTAGAAAGCATATATATATATGCTTCAAAAAATATGCGACAAGCGCAAAATGTATCTTAATTGCTACGTTAAAATCCGAAAATTTCTGTTAAAAAATAAAAGTTTGCCTAATTAGAATTTTTGTACGATGTTTGAAAACCAGCTGATTGCCTTTTACAGACGCCGAGCTTAGAAATGATGGCAGTTATGAAAAGCGTTCTTTAAGTACCGATCATTTGCTTTTTGTTCTTATATTCCGCTCAAAAGCTGCGCAATTTGTCGAATGTCTATAACGAATTAAATTACGTAATGAAGACTCTACAAAGTGTGACAGTTCTGCATCAGCGTGAATAGTGAAACTGATTTTGCCGTGTCTGCCTTATTTTTTGAAATTTGTCTAGCTAAATAAACGATACAGAAAACGATATGTAGATCAGGTGAAAAAAAATGTTTTGATCGTTGATTTTCTAAACGAAAGTGCTATATAAAGTTTTAGTTCAAAAAACAAATGGGTTATGATGGTATGCATATGATGCATATGATCGATTGCGAGTGAATTTTTTTGTTTATCTTTTGTTAGTAAATATTATAAAAATTGCTCCAAGCTGAATATAATCTGCTTTAGTACTCACTCTACTTAGAGCTATTCTTCTTATTATTTTACATAAATTGTACAGAAATTTCTTGGACAAATTTTCTTTATAGAGATTTTAAGCAACGCCAATTAGGTGGAGTTGCAAATTACGGTTCGGCAGGTAATTTGGAAAGTCCTGGTTCCCCGGCAAGCTCTTCTAGTGATCATAACATTAATAACAATCATCCATCACATTTAGTGGAAAAAAAATCATCAGTTTTCTGTTTACATGGGCAACGTAAAATAGAAGGTAAGTGCTCTTATAAATATTTAATACACTTTAATTATCGTTTAATTAAGAAATTATATATGTTTACACGTACGAATATAACGTTTATAACGTTTACACAAGTGTATATGTGTACGCGTTTGATTGATTGACGTATACATGGATAGACTTTTAATAGCTTATCTTAATTAATGATTAAGTTTTAATTTTATACAAATTACAACCACGATGCACAATGGCTTAAACTGAAATCAAATTTAAGACGCCTTTTACCCACTAAGAATAAATAAATTACTTGTTTACATCAAGTCGATGATGAACATTCTTATTTGTATTTAATGGTTACTAAAATTTTTATTGCAAACAGTACATATATATATATATATATATATATGTATACATAAATAAAGGTTTAGCTCTTCCTTACAAAGCGTTTATATGCGCGTAAATGATTGTGTGATGGTAATTTGTATAAACGCATACATAACCTTATTGATGGTTTGCTTGATTGATGTATTGTTTATTGTTTCAAACTTAAACGTTATATACGTTTGTATTGAGGATTTCTTTTATGTGCATTTATTGCAGTTTTATAAAATATATATTCATTTCAGTGGCATGCAATGGGGAAAAAATATTGAGAGATTTTGTGTTTAATTTTTTTTTTTTCTTATTAAATTTTTCTTTCATATAAAATGAATTTTACTTAAGTAAAGAATGGCCATTATTAGGTATATGTGTCTTCATTCATAGTAGAGGTTTCGGAATTTCTGGGCGAAAAACTGTAGCTAATGATTCTTCTATTGGGAAGTCTAAGTATTAGCCCATTAAAAGAGTTCAGCAGAAAGCGAAACAAATGATGCCTGGACCGGGCCAGATTCCAACTTTATGGAAGATGAACTTCCTACCCAAATTTCCTCGGTTTATCAAATATGTGCGTTGTCTGACGTTATTATGATGGTAGACAACAGCCTTTGTATTGATCAATTCTAGCCGAGGTTTTTGAATTGTTTGTTGCAATCCGATTAATTACTGACATTGAAGCTAACAATCATTTTTATATGTTAGGTTGTAGAGCTTCGCGATGTACGATTCCATTCCACTACTGCCACATACACACGGCATAAACGTGCGAGAGCTTTGAGCTCGTGTCCGGGTGATTCTTTAAGCCTTCTTTTATCCAATTTCATGCAAATGTCTTGAAACTGTTTTGTGGTCGATCTTTAATATCTTAGCCATGTCATTGCCGCTTATGTGTCTGTTTTTTAAGATTTTGTGTACGATTTCATTCATCTCTTTTGTGATCGGTCGACTAAAGTGAAATTCATCTTTAATAGAAGTAAGAAAACTGCCTACCTGGTATTGCATTTGATAACGCATTTTGACTGTAAATATTATACATTTTTTTCCGAGCTCGCAATTGCCTTTGTACTTTACAACTACGTAACGTAGCGAAATATTAATCATATTCACACTAATTTAACCCCTGAATCGATGGACGAAGGACGCACTTGTCTGGATGAAAATTATAAATTGAGATGTCATATTTCAAAAGCGCGCCATATTGATGTAAACGAACTATTGTTGACCGCTTTATTACATCATACAAACATCGTCTAGCGGCAATACTCTCAATATTTTTTCACGTCATCATATATACGTACGATATTCAATACACAAATGAAATAATGGTTTCGTTTTCGTAATGCGGGTTGAGTGTAAATGACAGTTTTATTTTTTAAAATGTATGTTTGCATATTTGTGCATAGCTATTGATTTATGTTTCAAATTCTTTGTAAATAGTTTTGTTTTTCAAAATAAAAAAAAATAAAAAAATTTTAAAATAAAAAATATATATGAACCTGGAGGATATATTCGCTGCCTTACTCTCAGATTTTATCAATGAAATAATAAAGTTTTTATATCCATCAGTAGTATGAAAATGAATGGAAGAAATTTTTGTTAAAAAATAAATTCCTTTGAAACAATAAATATGAATGAATCTTGAAAAAGAAAGAAAAAAAAATTAAAATATATAAGCTGAACAAAATTGTGATGTTTGATTGTTATAAAATGAAGGAAGTAAAATAAATTTTTATTGAAAATACTAAAATGTTTGAACAATGATATACTTAAATAAATGCATTAACAGTTCCTGGACAATTCTGAATAGTTGTAGTAGTATAGCAAACTGCTTGGGATAAGTGTACAAGAATTTTGTTATATAACATTCATAACATCCCTATATGAGCAGCAGTCGATGTAGAGAGTTGCATCATCTCGTGACGTTTTCACTTCTCGTTTAACGTGAACATAAAATGTTAACTAATTAATATTCAGTGAGTAAACCGGAATCCTTACAAGAAGTCTTACTTGACTGGAACGATAGTTTATTCTCCTAGGTTAATTGGCATTGGATTTGCTTCCCTAACCAAGTCCCATTGTACGTCACTCTACAATAATTCTTACCACGAATAATATTCAGTTTAATTTATTTTTAACTTACGCACTTATCTTTACTTAAATCATTAGACTCACAATGGTCTTACATTATATTTAGTTACCTAGCAGTTTGGAAGTATCGGTTATAATTTTCAGACGTAGATGTGAGCACACATCTGCTCAGGTTAGAAGTCAAAGCCAAAGAAAGGGCAAGACAGAAATAGGACATTTACAGTGTCATTTATCTGATCTCAATCAGAATTATATTTTCGATCAAATGTTCCTGTCTCGTCCGCTCGATTCATTTAATAGCATATCTAGCTTATTGTTAGTCTATAGTGTGGGACCAAAAGGACATCCGATTTTAGTACTCAAATTACATGAACTGATACTCAACTTTCAATGGTTCAAAAAGTCGAAAACTACTGAAGATATTTACCGATCTCTATTGAATGCAATGGATAACTTGGCGCGTGCGTTGCCAGTACAAATCCATCAAACTGATTATTTAGTATAGATATTCTAGATAAGAGATAAAAAGCAGCATGAAGGTACAACTTTCGACATTTGATTTTGACTTTCATTTTGGGTCTTGTCCTTCTCTTGCATCTTCTGGCCCGCAATATGCCATGAAAACGAACAACAACCTGCGAATTGCTGCTCAAAAGATATCGCAACGAATTAGGTCAATTATTGGTAATGAAACCTGTACGATGATCAGAAAAGGTCATAATGGAAGCGCGTTGCGCGGCAATGCCATACAAAGACCCGGTTACACATTTATCTGATAGGATTAACAAGGAGTTGTGGTAAGAATTTTTTCCTTGGAAGTTTCTTCGATTTTGACTAGGGACGCGATGGATAGATGCCTTCATTAATTACTAGCTTTGATCTTTAATAATAAATGCATATTTAAATATGTTTGACCAAAGATCTAATCAAATACTTAATAGTTAAAAGTATACATCAATTATAAATTTTAATTAATTAATAATTTTCATGTCTTAAAGAAAATTTTAGCAATAGCTTGGAATGTTGAAACTAAAATTAAAATAAAATCTTCGAAAAGCAGAAAATTGTTGGCGATTCTCTATGCAATCGTACACATGTACGAGAGTACTCATAGATGTAGTCAAAAGGTATTCGAAAATGTGCAAATTGTCATATGACCGCATTAAATTATAAGTTACGACCATTTCATTACAATTTATGACTAAAATGGACGGACAAATTGACAAGAAAAAGTAAACTGCATATACAAATTGCAAAACGATTCTGTATTCCTTCTCATGTACGGTGTATTGGCACATTTTTTCTTTCATTTTCATTTTCTTTGTCTTTGTTTTTATATTTTATTTCATGTAAAGTTTAGTAAAGAGGATAGCTGAGAATGGGACATAATGCAGGCAGAGTGAGCAAAGAAAGGCAAAAATTATACATAATCGTTAGAATGAATTATGTTTGTGGGTTGAATAAGTATGCCTGCCTGCCTCCCTACTTACCTATCTACTCATTGCATTTCTCTCTCATTCAGGCGTACAGATAAAGATTCGAATAATGCATATCATGTTATGTGTCTGGTACAGTTAGGGCAGTAAGGATATACCTATCGTTACGAGTGCCGAGGATAGCATTTATGTGTATGTAGTGTGTATGTGCTTTCCCGTTGGTTTCGGTAAATGAGTGGACAATATGGGAAAATTTTCTTCTCTTTAGCTTTCTTACTGTGATTGTGTGCGTTTATTATGCCGAATTACATATTCATGTTAGAGTAGTCGAGCATGGACTGTATGCTTATAAGTGCATATGTGTATACATCAGTTTGTCATTTTATATCTTTTTGCCCTTTAATGTTTATCCACTTATATATCATCGTCGTTATAGTACGGTATGCGCGGGTATGTGCATTCGCTTTTCTTCCTCATGCACACCCTGATGCGGTGTAGTTTCCATCATTCAAAATACATAAATTTAGATTAACAATCCTTGATATAGGTACGAAAAATGCATAAAATAGTTTTATATATGTACATATGGTTGTTTGCTTAAATATATATATACATATATGTATATATATATATATATATATGCATATATAACTGCTTCAGGTTTTACTTTTCTGTTTTTACGTCTAGAAATGCTTTTGCACAAATTGCTATATTCAAGCGTAGAGTACATTACTGCTGATGGACACAATATAGGAATAAAAGTATAAATAATGAAAATTTATACGTATGCCTAAATAAATGCATTTGGGTTTGTGTATATACGGAAAAAAATGGAAAAGAAATTTAACTAACTATAAACAGACATTAATTGTTTGAAATAAATTATTACGAGTACTTTACTAAATAAAGACATAAAGCATTAAAAAATATCAAGCCTGATAACATATATAACATTAATTAGTGTCAAATGTCATTGTATACGTTATATAAATACGTTGAACAAAGTGAATTATGTTTAAGACTAATTGATACAATTTGGTTTGCTTCTACCCTAAGGAGGCCCGTCTGTTAGGCAGGCTATCATTATGACCTAATCTAATATGCAAGTGAGATCCAAGATTCTTATGTTTT